GATGATGACGACGATGATGATGATGATGTCGACGATGGTGTCGGCGATGATGATGACGATCATGCTGCTGTGGATTATGATGATGGCGACGAAGATGGCGATGACGATGCTGATGATGATGCTGATGCTGATGCTGATGACGATGACGATGACGATGATGATGATGATGATGATGATGATGATGATGATGATGATGATGATGATGATGATGATGCTGATGCTGATGATGCCGATGATGATGCCGATGATGATGCTGATGATGATGGTGATGAAGAAGATAATGATGACGATGCTGATGATGCTGATTATGATGATGCTGACGACGATGATGATGATGATGATGATGATGATGATGATGATGATGATGATGATGATGATGATGATGATGATGATGCTGATGATGCTGATGCTGATGCTGATGATGCTGCTGATGATGATGATGATGATGATGATGATGATGATGATGATGATGATGATGATGATGATGATGATGATGATGATGATGATGATGGCGAGGAGGAGGAGCAGGAGGAGGATAAGGGGTCGGGCCACGAGGAGGAGGAGGACGGGGATGCGGAGGATGAGGTTGGGATCCTTCCAAGATCGATCCAGCGACCAGTCCTCCACGCCCCGGTCAGAATCCAACTGTGGTGACGAAGACGCTCCAGGTAGAGGCAGGAGGAAAATGGGAGAGCGAGAGAGAGAGTGACGCAGAGGTGGTTCGGCAACTGCTTCGGCTCGAGCGCGTGGCTCCAGCGCCAGCGCGGGACCCACCCTCCACCGGACGACCCCCGCTCGTTGCCGGAACTCCTTCGAGGACGACCGGCACGAGTCGGGGGGACTCCTGGTGCGAGCCCGGGGCTCCAGCGCCAGCGCGCCGGCCGCGCAATGAGCTGTGCCGAAGTCACAGAGGAATCCGCATCACGTCTGTGTACGGGTTTGTTGCTGTGCCGAGAAGAATATGCGGCCGATTGCGGTGCGCTCCGTGGTCTTCAGGAGCACGATGCGGCGAGCACACAGATCTGCCCCGACGATAAACGTCAAGGACGCCGCCAAGATGATGAACTTTGCCAACCCGAAGAACACCTGTGGCATGCACGGACTGCTCCTGGTGCACGTGGGCATGCGGATCCGGCTCTTGGGGGCGCTGGACTTCAAAGCGACCTCGTCAAGGATGCCGAGGGGCAGATCGTGCACATCGTCGTGGGCCCTCGGGATTGGGGCGACGTCGAAAGGCCGAGAGAGTCGGGGAGAGAATATCTATCTGAAGCACTTGCCGCTGGGGTTCTGGGTCTGCGTGGAGAAGTGCGCGAGCGCGCCCTTCGTGGGCGACCTGAAGCGCCACGACGACGCCCTCACGGGGGACCTGACGGGCCCGCTGGTGTTCGTCGAGCCCCGCGCGTCGGAGCCGTTCACATATTCCGCCCCTCCAAGGTCACCCCGGCGGGCTTCCCGTTCTCGCGCGGCAGGGTCGTCGCCGCGGTGGCGTGCCAGGGGCGCGCCGCGCGAGGGGGCGACGGGGCGGGGGAACTGCGCCCTCCGGGCAGTCCGCGGCCGAACCTCCTGGGCACGAGCGGTCCGCAGCCAGACCTTTTTCCGGTTCTGTGGATTCTCGCCTTGGGCCGTCGGCTGTCCCGCGAGCTGCTCCCTCGGCCGACGTCGCCCGGGCGTGATCCTGGACTGCGGCCGCCGCGAGATCGGGAACGGCAAGGAGGACGACGACGACTGGTGGCCGGAGTTTCGCGCGCTGCTCTCGCGCGCCGCGCGCCGCGAGGACCTCCTGCTCATGCGGGCGCCGCGTGTCGAGTTCTTCCTGGCGGGGCCGCTGGAGGGCTCGCGTAAGCTTCTGGAGCAGTTTGCGTTGCGCGCGAAGCGGTGCGGGAGGGGGGCGGCAGCCCTCTCTAGAGAGTTGGGCTTCGCCGAGATTATCCGCGAGGTCTGACCTGGGGAGCGGCCCTCCCGAGCCGCGCCATATCCGCGCTGTTCAACAGTTCGGCCTGGCGCCGTGGACGACCCGTGCGCGTCGCCGGGGCCCTCTCGGGGCGACCGGCGTGCGTCGCGGGGACTCCGTGCTGCGCGCTGCCCAGCGCCTCGTTCCCCCGTCGTCGCTTTGCCTGGCGGCCAGAGCCTTGCCCGCTCTCAGCCAGCCAGCTAGTTCGCTTTGCTCCGCGCAGCGGACGACCCGCGTGCGTTGCCGGGGCCCTTTCGGGGCGACCAGCGCGCGTCGCGGGGGCTCCGCGCTGCGCTGCGCCGGCGGCCCGGGGCGCTGGAGTGCGCGGGCGAAGAGGGGGAAAAAAAAGGGGGGGCGGGGGCGATCCACGCGAGGGGCGCGCCGACATGGGCGTCGACATTCGTGCGCGCAGATTCGCTTGCGCGCAGACTCATGCGCAGTCGGACGCGCTCGTGCTCAGACTCACCCGCCCCCGTTGTCAGACCTATCGTCTCCTTTCGCGTTGCGTGCCCCGCCGCGCATCGGCGCGCCCCTCGCGCGGCTCTTGGCTTCGTGGGGGGCTCCGCCGAAGACGGGATTCGCAGCGGCGGTGCTTTCAACTGCGTATTGTTGGGTCTTTCGCCGGGCTATTTTGGTTCCTCCTTCGGCCTCCCCCCTCCGCCCGAGGTTTTCGGTTCCCCCCCCGGGGGGTTGGGTGGGGGTGGGGGGGTTGTGGCTCGAGGCTTCCCCCGCCCCCCCCGAAGCTTTTGTTTGTTTTGTAAGAGGGTTCTTCCCAACCATCCTGTGCTGTTGGGTCCTCGTTCTGAAGGGACGGTCCCCGCGTTCTCCTCCTCCCTCCTCCCTCCATCAATCTCCCTCCTCCCCCTCCTCCCTGCTCCCTGCGTTTCACCAGCCCAGTGCAGCGTTTCGTGGCCCCATAGGGAGCTCCACTGGAGGCCCCAGTGTTACCGCCCGCATGCGTCACGCGCACCCAATTCGGCACGCACCCCGCACGTTTCGTGGCCCCCACATGGAGCTCCAACGAAGGCCCCAACGCCGCATGCGTCACGCACACCCACTTTTGCACACCCGTCATACGTTTCGTGACCCCACACGGAGTTCCGCCGACGGCTCCAATGCCACCGCCCGCATGCGTCACGCACGCCAAATTCGGCACACCCTTCACACGTTTCATGGCCCCACGGGGAGCTTCACCGAAGTCCTCAGTGCCATTGCCCGCGTGCTTCACGCACGCCCAATTCGGCGCACCTTTTACACGCTTTGTGGCCCCACAGGGAACTTCACCGAAGGGTCCAGTGCCACCGCCCGCATGCGTAACGCACACTCATGTCGGCACACCCCTCACACGTTTCGTGGCGCCATAAGGGGGCTCCACCGAAGGCCCCAGCGCCGCCGCCCGCATGCGTTACGAACACCCATGTCGGCGCACCCGTCACACGTTTCGTGGCCCCACAGGGAGCTCCACCGAAGGCCCCAACGCCACCGCCCGCGCGCGTCAGGCACACCCATTCGGTTTCCCCTTTCGTGGCCCCACACGGAGCTCCACCGAAGGCCCCAGTGCCACCGCCCGCATGCGTCACACACACAGTCATGTCGGCACACCCCTCACACGTTTCGTGGCCCCACGAGGAGCTCCACCGAAGGCCCCAATGCAACCGCCCGCATGCGTCACGCACACCAAATTTGGCACACCCCTCACACGTTTCGTGGTGGCACAGGGAGCTCCACCGAAGGCCCCGGTGCCACCGCCCGCACGTGTCACACACGCCCAATTCGGCACACCCCTCACACGTTTCGTGGCCCCACAGGGAGCTCCACCGAAGGCCCCAACGCCACCGCCCGCATGCGTCACGCATGTCCATGCCGGCACACTCCTCACACGTTTCGTGGCTCCACAAGGAGCTCCACCGAAGGCGCCAGTGGCTACGTTCGCATGCGCCCACCGCGCCCGTTTCGGCACACGTATATCATACGTTTCGCGGCACCATAGCTAGCTTCACCGACGGTCCCAATGGCTGTGCTCGCATGCGCCCACCGCAGCTATTTCGGCACACCTCTCACGCGTTTCGTGGCCCCACAGGGAATTCCACCAAAGGCCCCAGTGGCTGCTTCTGCATGCGCCCACCACACAAATTTTGACACACCCCTCGCACGTTTCGTGGCCCTATGGGGAGCTCCTCCGAAAGAGGCGCGTGCAACCACAGTGTTCACAACTGCGTATGGTTGGGTCCTTCGCCAGCCTAATTTTACGTTGCGTCGAGTCTTTTCCCCCCCGTCCTCTCGAGGCGTTTTTTCGTTGTTGTTTTTCCCCTCTCCCCCTCCTTTTTCCCCCCCCTCCCCCTCGAGGCTTCCCCCCCCATCACCCTATTTCCTCCCCCCCTCCTTCTTTTTCTCCCTTTGGAAGGGGGGGGGGGGGGCGGGAGGGGGGCCGAACGGGGGGGCAGGGCGGCGGAGGGCCAAGCGCCAAGTTTTTTAAAAGAGGCCCAGGATGAGGATCGCGCGCTGCAGACCGTTCCAGCAGCGAAAAGTGATGTGCAGGGAGGGGAGGGGGGGGAACGGCAGCCCACTTGACGGACTGACCCTGCGGGGGGGCATTTCGTGAGACTTCTGCACCCAAGCGGTCCAACCGTTCCAGCACGCTCTCGGTGTTTCCTGGCAGCGTTCTGGAACTGGCCGCGACGCCCGCTGGATCCTCCGGACCCGCCGGCTCTCCCGGCGATTCCCAATGTGGCCCCTCGTTGTGCTGCTGCTGCTTCTCCCCCTCCCCCTCCCCCTTCTCCTCGCCCTCCTCCTCCTTTCCCTTCTTCTCCTCCTCCTCCTCCTCCTCCTCCTCCTCCTCCTCCTCCTCCTCCTCCTCCTCCTCCTCCTCCTCCTCCTCCTCCTCCCCCCATGCTGCTGATGTTTTGTGGTGTTCGCGGGGCCCAATAACAGGTCCCCCAAGGCCGAAGGCAATCAAAAGCGCCAACCTCGAACATACAGATACCTTTGGCGCTCTGGACTCGCCTGCTATGCACCAGTCTGCCTGCCCTCACCCCTTAGTTGCGGGAAGCACCCCGCAGGAGGGCCACACGCTGTTCTACAACGCGGCAGACGACCCCGACGACGCGGAGATCGGGGCAGCAACAGCCCGCAGCTGCGTTGACAACCGCCAGCGCCAGGGGCAGTGGGAGGGAGAGGCGGCAAGGAGGATGAGGATGATGATGATGATGATGATGATGATGATGATGATGATGATGATGATGATGATGATGATGATGATGGTGATGGTGATGGTGATGGTGATGCTGGTGCTGCTGATGATGCTGATGATGCTGATGATGCTGATGATGATGTTGCTGCTGATGATGCTGATTCTGATGATGCTGATGCTGATGCTGATGATGATTTTGATGGTGCTGATGATGATGATGGATGATGGATGATGATGGACGATGATGGTTGTTATTCTTGTGATGATGATGATGCTGGTGATGACGATGATGATGCTGCCGCTGATGATCATGATGACGATGACGATGCTGATGATGATGACGATCTGATAATGATGATGCTGATGATGATGGTGATGATGGTGACGTTGCTGCTGCTGCTGCCGCTGCTGCTGATGATGATGGTGATGGTGGTGATGTTGATGATGCTGATGCTGCTGCTGATGCTGCTGGTGGTGCTGATGACGATGATGACGATGGTGGTGGTGGTGATGATGATGATAGTTGTGGTGGTGGTGATGACGACGCTGACACAGATGATGATGATGATGATGATGATGATGATGATGATGATGCTGATGATGATGCTGATGATGCTGACGCTGATATTGGTGCTGATGATGATGAATCTGATGATGATGATGATGATATTGATGATGACGATATGGTGGTGGTGGTGGTGGTGACGAGAATGCTGTTGATGATGATGCTGATATTGATTATGATGCTGCTGATGCTGATGATGCAGACAATGATGTTGATGATGAAAATGATGATGATGATGATGATGATGATGATGATGATGATGATGATGATGATGATGATGATGATGCTGATGATGCTGATGATGGTGATGATGACGAGGAGGAGGAGGAGGAAGAGGAGGATGAGGATGAAGAGGAGGAGTAAGGCAAAGAGACGAAGATGGAGGAGGGTGAGGTAGGGTCTCACCATCCTTATAGTTTCAGTTACCTCCAAGGATGGCCTGGCCAACCTGCGCAGAATGGCCTACCTGAACCAGAACGATATCGTCACGTGCAACCAGAATGCCGACCCCAACGAGGATCAGAGCGAGACCGACTGCCAGCAGCTCAACGGCGCCTCGGCATACTTTGACGGGGGTGTGATTGAGATGAAGCAGATTGGAGAGCACAAGGTTATGAGCACGAGGAATAATGACTTCTCCAACCGGTCTCAGAAGGCCACCATCCGCGTCGTGCCGAAGAGCTGGAAGTGGTGGCAGATCCTGCTCGTGGCCGCTGGCTCGGTCCTCGGGGCGGCCGTGGCGGCCTATTTGGGCGCCGCCCTCTACGCGTACAAGAATCCGCGGTCTTGGCTGTTTTCCCCGAAGTACAGGCCGCGGGTGCTGAGGTTGATGGGTCAGTTTTCCACCACCGCTGCCACAGGGAGGACGGGGGAGAAGGGAGGATGAGGAGGTCCTCCTCCTCCTCTTCCTCCTCCTCCTCTTCTTCCTCCTCCTCCTACCTATGGTAGTGGTGGTAGAACATCGGCCCATCAGAGGTGGGTCGTCAAGCCGCAGACGCTGGAGCGGCTCGAGAGCGTGCGCAAGGCGACGCCGCCAGAGGCGCTGGTGGCCTCGGGCCAGGTGAGCGTCTCGGCGGTGGCGGCGTCGTCTGCTGCGCCCGCGTCGCCTGCGGCTGGAAGGAATCGAATAGTAATAATAGCAAAAATAACAATAATATTATTAATGCTAGTAATACCGATAGTAATAATATTAGTATTCAAACTAACCGTACTATTAGAAAAATAAGAGTAATGAGAACTTAATAATACGACTAATACTAATACGATTAATAGTAATACTAATACAAATGCCACAAAGGATATTCATAATGGCAGTACGGGTATTAATTATCAGAAGAAGCATCGGCGTAAGCATAACCATATTTTGGAGGTCTGCACCGATTTTTCGGACCGGCGCTGGACTACCCTGACGGCGCCTGCGGCGCAACCTCTGGCGCGCTCTGCGCGCCAGGGAGGGTGCCCAGCGCCGATCCAAGGCAGGACAGCCGCGTCTGCCTCCGAGAGTTTATGTTTGCAGTGGAGGCCCATGCCAAGAAACAGCCTGCTTGCCTCCATGGTGCCCTGGGTTTCTTGGGTTTCGATGGTTTTGCTGTGGAAAGCGTGACGTTCCCACACCAAAAAGCAATGAACGTCCTGGGGTCTCAGGGTTGGGTTTCTTGTGGAAGGTTTCCTGTTGCCGAGCCCCTACTGTATGCCGATTTTCTTGTTTAAAGGAGGGCGTCCCAGAACACCCCGACGGAGTCGGGCGGCCTCACCAAGGCCTGGGGCCAGAGCTGGGCAGACTCCGCCCTCGTCTGTGTCGGCTGCGCTGAGGGACAGAGGCTCGCCGTGGCGATCTACCTCGCGTTGAACCTTGCGGTCTTCTTCTGGGGCTACTTCACGCTGACCAGCCAGCTGTACAACGGAGGGGTAATCACAGAGGAAAAACGCCACAATCATAAACTTTTGGCGCTCTGCGCGGATTTTTGGATCCGCGCTGGGCCCCCCCCCAAGCGGCGCCTCCGGCGCCACCCGTGGCACGCTCCGCGCGCCAGGGAGGGGGGTTTGGCGCGGATCCAAGAAATTCGCGCGGAGCGCCAAAAGTTTATGTTTATAGCGTTTTCCTTCTCCTAGGTAAGCAAGACTCGCGCGTGGGCCGTCTCCGTTGGTGCTTTCGAGGCTCTGAGCCTCAACATGGCCGTGGGCATCCTGCCCACGCTGAGGAGCCTGCATACTGCGCTCCGCGGCAGCGGCACCATGTTGCGAGACTGGATCCCGATTGACGACCCCTTCAACCTGCAGATCAAGCTGGGCACACTCGTCGGCATCTGGATGTGCGTGTACTTGGGGGCCAACCTCGCAATCATCGGCGCGGTGGCAAACGGAGTGCGCCTCCAGGAGGACACGTTCCGCGCGTGGGGGCTGACCGAAGAGCAGATGTGGTCCGGCACGCCCGTGGTCAATCAGCTCCTGACATTCAAGAATTTCACCGGCCTCCTTGGTTTGGTGCTGCTGGTCTTGTTGTTCGTGTCAGCTCTGCCCAGGTTCGACTACGCGCAGAAGATCTATCCGTGCTTCAGGCTCTGCGGCGGCTTCAAGTGTTACGAGCGGACGCACATGCTGTGGCCGCTGTTCTACCTGATCATGATACTGCACGGTACGTCCCGGCTCTACGTGTGGCTCTTCTTTCCCCTGGCCTGCTACGTCCTCGACAAGCTGCTCCTCCTGCAGCGGCAGCTCTACCCCGTGGTGCTGTTCAGCGCGCGGCTGGTCGGCCGGGACATACTGCACCTGGCCCTGGAGGTCCCGGAGGGGTTCTCCTATACGGAAGGCCTCTTCGGCCGCTGCCGCCCGCCCCGCTGCTCCAGGCCTCGAGGGATCGATCACTCGTCGCCATCCTCCTCCTCGTCTGCCTCCTCCTCCGGCTCTTTCTCTTCCTCTGCCTCCTGGGCGTCCAAGGGGCCTCCCTCTCTTGCTGAACCCTGTTTGATCCCTTGTGGCCCCATTCGCTCTATCCTTGGGCCCTCTCAGGTCAGTTTCTGGGAACGGCTTGGTGCTGCTCTGGGGCCTACTGGAGCCTTCGTAGCCCCCAGCATCAGGGCGCGCTTGAAGCAATATTTGGCCCGGCCCTGTTGTGGGATCTTAATTAAGCCACGCAGAAACATCTTCTGGCAATTTCGGGCAGTGTTGCTAGGGATTCTCGCCCTTGGATCGCGGAACCATCGCAGTTTAAGAGGAATCGTGGCGCTGGGAGCGCGGATCCAGCCAGTGAGATTTGTAAGGGGTTGTAATCCCGCAGATCCAGCGTAATTTGCGAAGGATCGTGGCCCTGTAAGCGCGGGACTAAGGCCGTTTACAATGGATCGTGGCCTTGGGAGCGCAATCCAGCATTATTTGCAATGGATCGTGGCCCTTAGAGTGCGGATCCAGCGTAATTCGCAGGGATCGTGGCCCTGGGAGCACAGATCCAGGTTGACTTGCAAGGGATCGTGGCCCTGGGAGCGCGGATCCAATGTATGACGGCCAGCGCGAAGCGACTTTGATATGACGGGATGAGGGCGAGAAGCTCTCCCAGTACCCGACGAGAGAACTTTTTAATGTATGGCAGGAAGCGCGAGGCGATTTTCGTTTGGACGGGAATGATAAGATGGGGGAGTGTGAGGGGGAGAAGCGCTCGCCATACCCGACCATGCGCCCTTTTAGTGTATGACGGGACGCGTGGAGCGATTCTTGCTCGGGTCGAATGTACATAATGGGAGACTGAGGGGGAGACGCGCTCCCAGTTGCAGAATATAGAACTTTGAGTGTGGTGAAGGGGCGTTTCGCACGAGAAATCCTCTTCGGGGAACTGGTGTTTCGCGTGAGGCGTCCTCTTCAAAACGAGACTTTGAGAGAGGCGGTGTATAAGCTCGCCTCTTGGGCTCCTCAATAAGGGCCTCCCAGAGGGCCCAAAAGAGCCCGAACGAGGCATCAGGGCCAGGGCGTGGTTAGACGAGGGTTTGGGGGGCTGGGGGGCGGGAGACTCGCAGGCCGGGGCAGACTGCCACGCTTGATCTCCTGCACCACAGCAACACTGAAGCCAGCAGCGCCACGGCAGCACATCTCCACATCGCCTACGTCGGCCCACACCTCCTACAGCGCCAGCAGCCAGCCACGTCCCGCCACAGCAGCACCGCATCTCCTACACCAGCCTGGAGGCCCCGCAGAGCTGGCCGTCGGATCAGGCTGGCCAGTACATCCTCCTGTATTGGCGCGGGGAGTGGCACCCGTTCACGCTGACCTCCGCGCCCGAGGTCGGGGCGACGTCAGCTGAGCACCTCGCCGGTCCTGGCCGCCCCCACCCTCGGCCCGGGATCGGCGTGCACGCCCGGCTGGCTTGTCCAGGGAGGCGATGCGCTCGCGGGCGGGAAGCGCCTCCATATCCACGGCCTCGCGGGCCAGGCCCATGGGCCGCGACCCTGCGGGTGCGGGGCGCCTGTTTCGCCGAGGCCCTGCGCGGCACACGTGTCCAGATGCGACGGCGTGTGCCCGCTGCGTCTCGCGCCCCCCCGCGGAGTCCAGGCCGCGAGGCCGCGGGCGTGGGCGTGCTCGCCGCTCGTGCTGTGCACTCGGCCTGGGCCTGGGATCGGACTGGCCGGGCTCGGTGAGGTGGTCGGTGGGCGTCGCTGGGCGAGGAGCGGCTCCTGTCGGTGCACCTGCGGGCGCCGCCGGAGTACGACTGGTGCGCCGCGCTGCGCCAGCGCGTCCTGGTGGACGCCCCGAGGGCGGCGAGCGCCCGTGCGAGCGCGTCGGAGCCCGCGCCGGGCTTCGCCGTGGAGTACGAGCCCCTGGTGCTGCCGAGCGGCACGGTCATCGCAGGGGGGGCCACTGAGATCACCGCTGGGGTTGCTCAGGGGGTACAGGGGGCTTAGAAGCTGACGCCGATGAAGGTTACATCTGGCCGAACCTAGCTTGCCAGAGGGTTCCATGTGCCCTGATCTTTTTAGGACCATGAGAGAACTTCGCTGAGTGGGCTCCGGCTACTTGGACCAGATCTGTACCCTCCAGGACCACTTACAGTCGGCCCAGATTAGGAGGTCGACCCTGCCAAATCAAGGGTACCCTTGTGTCCTGTGTCTCGCGATCCATGCTTCCTACATTCCTGTGGCAATGTGGCCCTCGGAAGGGTCTTGTGTCCTCTCGCGTGTCCTGTCCAATCGAGTCCGACTGTAGGGCATCCGTATCCCACTTATAAAGTTAGGTCGGGCCAGGTATAGGATCCCGGGATCTTGGGGGGGGAACGGCGACGACGATGATGACGATGACGACGACAACGGCGGCGACGACGACGACGACGACGACGGCGGCGGCGACGGTGACGACAACGACGACAACGACGACAACGACGACAACGACGACGACGACGACGACGGCGGCGGCGGCGACGACGACGGCGACGACGACGACGACGACGACGACGACGACGACGACGACGACGACGACGACTACGACGGCGACGACGATGACGACGACGGCGGCGGTGGCGAAGACGACGACGGCGACGACTTCG